GGATAAAACATATCAAAAGTGACTTCTGAAGGGGTGCCTGGGTGGCTCAGTCGGTTAAGTGCCCGACTTCAGCTCAGGTCATGATCTCACATTCATGAGTTCCAGCCCCATATAGGGCTCTGTGCTGACAGCTCAGAGCCTGGAGCCTGCTTCTGTATGTGTCTCTCTCTCTGTCCCCTGCCCCCCCACTTGCGCTCTCTCTCTCAAAAATAAACACTAGAAAAAAGTGACTTTTGAGGGAACACCTCCCCCCGATGTGCCAGAAAGAAGGGATGTGGAATCTAAAATGATCTAGGGAGACAGGGACACTTAAGAGCAGCATGTGGTCCCAGAATCAGAGGCTTTGCCAGGCCGGTGGTCGGTAACGTGATGTCTGATATTGACAGGTTTCCTGAAGGGCTGTGCAGCAGGACAGACATCCTCACTGCCTGTGGGGAGGAAGGCCAGGTACAGGGAGGTCAGGAAGCTTCTCTATCTCCAAATGGGAAGGCAGAGGGGATGAGCTGGGGGCAGCTCTCCTGAGAAATTAAAACCCAGGCCTATTCCTCATATTGTTTACAAATTTACATATGCCACGGGGTGCAGAAATCCCCAAGCAAAGAAACTGACCTAAAAACAAGTCTTAGTGAAGAGCTACTTCTGGGACACTGATCAAATACAAATCCAGCACCCATCTGGAAGGACTCCCACAAGCCAAGACAGATATTCTCACGGAACTCATACAAACACCTCACTAAAGATGAGAACACAACAGGCTACTCCAAAAACGATGACAAGTACATGGAAAACAACATATTAAAAAGAGAAAAGGTCTCAAGCAGTAGCACCCACGGTGGCCCCATCACACAGGTGTGCAGGCCAAAATACTCAAAGTGATCCAAATAATCCCAAGCCTCACATTAAAAAAAATTTTTTTTTACATTTATTTTTGATAGAGAGAGACAGAACACAAGTGGGGAAGGGGCAGAGAGAGAAAGAGACACAGAATCTGAAGGAGGCTCCAGGCTCCGAGCCGTCAGCACAGAGCCTGACATGGGGCTCGAACTCACAAACCGCGAGATCATGACCTGAGCCGAAGTGGGGCGCTTAATTGACTGAGCCACCCAGGCGCCCCCAAGCCACACATTTAATTTAAAGTGAATAACTAATCATACCTTTAAATACTAGGCAACATTTAGATCTGCTCATTAGAAAGGATAGTTACGCTTAATTAAAAAAACAGCTTGAGAGGCACCTGGGTGGCTCAGTCGGTTAAGTGTCCAACTTCGGCTCAAGTCATGATCTCATGGTTCGTGAGTTCGAGCCTCGCGTCAGGCTCTGCGCTGACAGCTCAGAGCCTGGAGCCTGCTGCAGATTCTCTGTCTAAACTCTCTCTCTGCCCCTCCCCACTTGCTTATGCTCTCTCTTTCTCTCTCAAAAATAGACATTAAAAAAATTTTTTTAATGGTTAAGAGGGTAAGTTTTATGTTAAGTGTATTTTACAATTAAAAAATGACAAAAATATACACTGAGGGAATTATAAATGAAGTTTAACTATTCTAACATCCTTGTACTATCAAAGAGTGAAGGTGTTAATTAGATTTAGATATAAAAAAGTATAAATGTTGTATGTAATAAGCTCACCATTAAAAGAATAGAAACTGAGTATATTATTACTCCAAAATGAATAAAGGGAGAATTAAAAAAAAGAAATCTCCTGATAAAAAATAATCCAATGAAATGTAAGCTCAAACACATCGAAGTTTACTTTAAATATAAATGAATTAAACTACACACAGGGGCTCCTGGGTGGCTCAGTCAGTTGAGTGTCCAACTTCGACTCAGATCGTGATCTCACAGTTCAAGAGGTGGAGCCCCACGTTGGACTTGCTGCTGTCAGCACGGAGCCTGCTTGGGATCCTCTGTTCCCCTCTCTCTGCCCCTCCCCTGCTCGTTCTTTCTCTCTCTCTCAAAAACGAATAAACAGGGGCGCCTGGGTGGCTCAGTTGGTTAAGCGACCGACTTCGGCTCAGGTCATGATCTCCCGCTCTGTGAGTTCCAGCCCTGCGTCGGGCTCTGTGCTGACAGCTCAGAGCCTGGAGCCTGCTTCAGATTCTGTGTCTCCCTCTCTCTCTGGCCCTCCCCCATTCATGCTCTGTCTCTCTCTGTCTCAAAAATAAATAAACGTTAAAAAAAAATTTTTTATAAAAAAAATGAATAAACATTTATTTAAAAAAAAACTATCCAGTAAAAAAACAGACACTGTCAGAATAATTTTTAAAAATCAACGCCATGCTGTTTACCACAACATACATCTAAAACACAAAGACACAAAGATTTCGGAAGGGAAAGGATAAAAAAGACCAGAATCACGTCTGATCCAATGACACAAAGTTCTAAAGCATAACTGCCACAGAAAATCAGGACGGTGTTGACTCTGGGGTGTGGGGAGGAGGGCAGCAGGGCACGAGGAAGATTCCAGGTCCAGCACTGTGCTATTTCTTACTGCAGAAGGAACATGTAGTATTTACTGTGTATTCATTTGTTAAGCTGCGTGTACACTTTATGTACTTTCTACTTCTCTGCGCACATGCTATATGTCACAGTTTAAAACAAGTATGAAAATGGGTATTTAAGGGTGACTTTTATGGACCCCACCAGAGACCATTTTTCCAGGCCCTGCCTATGATCTAGATTTCTCCTGCAATAACACAAATTAAAAACCAAACCTGCTCACTGCCTAAAGTAATGTGGACTGAGTCCTACTAGAATCAAACGTCTAAAATACAGGCTTCAGGGGTGCCTCACCAGCTCGGCTGGTAAAGCATGTGACTCTTGATCTCAGGGTTCTGAGTTCAAGCCCCACATTGGGCGTGGAGCCTACCTAAAAAAAACTGTTTATAATACAGACTTTTAACACAACACTTTAAAACTAATCAGTTCAGTATCTAATAAATTTCCTCCCAAATACCAAAACAAAACAAACGCAAGGAATTAATTCAACACATGGAATTCACGTCAGGCCCTGTGGCAGAAAACGGGACCACGGGAGAGATGAGGG